CGACATCAACCTATCGCACACACTCGCACATTTCATCGTGGTTTCGTTATTAGGAGCACCCATAGGGACGAGTATCGATTCTCACCTCTTTTAAACCAAACCCTCGACTCGTCGTCGAGCCATTTTCAAATCAACTTCCTTCCACCAATCTCCTCGCATGCAAATACAATCAGACCCTTGATCCAACGTCAAGTGGGTTTTCTCAATCAAACTATCAAAATAATTAACAAGTATCTAACTCTTTTCAAGGTGAAAAAGAGAGGGATTGAGCCTTTGATCTCTCTTCAGTTGTTTGGATGCGAGTTCTCTTACTCGTGTGTGAGAAATTGACGCCTCTAAAACATTTCCAACTAGACAACATTTCAACTATATTCCAACCACTCATCGTTCAAACACTCTTCAAACATAAATTCTTTTCAAGATGAAAAAGAGAGAGAGAGTCACGCCTTTGACTCATTCTCCCAATTACTTGGGCCTGAGGAGCCTTTCTTAAGCTTCGAGTAATCGTCATCTAACCAAACTTCATCATGTTAACCCCTTTCTTTTCGTGGTCATCTCCATGAACTACGGACGCTTTGATTCTTCATTCTCGTCTGAATGTAAGATACGTTGGCACAAGATTACGATGATCTTGGCGAGCTACCTTTTTCTTTTTCCCCCGTTTGTCTCTACCTTCTATCCATCTTCTGTTTCCCCTACCCTTTTTTGTAGTCAAACTACGAGAGCTCTGATTCCTCATTCTCGTCCGAATGAGCATACGTAGGCACAAGGGCCTCAATCCTTGTTAAGCACCCTATCTTAGAACCAATCATTTCCCCTTAGTATCTCTTCCCTTTTATCGTACCGTTCGCATTTATTATTGAGAAAAAAACAAATAAGGTTAGCTAACATTTATCACAATTCGAATTAAGAGGTTCCCGTTGAGTACAAAGAACATGAGGGGTGTTAATACCTTCCCCTCGCGTAACTGACTCTCGAACCCAGAACTTGGTTGCGACGACCGTGTTCTTATCTTTTCTTTAAATGTTTTCTCGATATTTTTCTTTCTCATCTTTTTGGGATAAATAAAGTTCGGTGGCGACTCTGTTGAACCATATTTTCGCGCCTTTAGTGTGAGGGTCGTAGTTTTCGAATTAATTTTTTGAGGTGCGACAGTAGGCACAAGGGCCTCAATCCTTGGCGAGCATCCTATCCTCAAAACCACCCATTTCCACCTAGCATCGATTTCTTTTATCTTACCGTTTTGCATTCATCATTGAGAATAAAATAAACAAGCTTAGATAACGCTCATCACAAATCGAACTAAGAGGTTTCCGTTGAGTACAACGGACGTAAGGGGTGCTAATACCTTCCCCTTGCGTAACCGACTCCCGAACCCAGAATGTGGTTGCGACGACCATGTTCTTATCTCTCTTAAAGTTTTCTCAATATTTTCCTTTCCTTCCTTTGAGATAAAGAAAGTTCGGTGGAGACTCTATCGAACCGCATTCTGCGCCTTTTGCACAAGGGCCGTGTTTCGATGTATTTTCGAGGTGCGACAATGTGGTACCAAATCAACATGTTAATGGACACTGGGTCATCACCCTCCAAAGATCCCCACCAATAGGATCGAATCTACATAAGAACCGGAGCACAACATAAACACCCCAATCCACACAATAGGATTAAAGCCAACACTGGACATAAGTCCTATCAACAATACTGGACCGAAGTCCTACTATGCCATGAATGCATGATGTAAAAAGTCATAATCATCATCATCACAGGATCATCAAGGTTGCGTCATCATTCATCAAAACTCACCAAAACATCATAGAATTATATCATCATTATGCATCACAATTCTTCATATGACATCACCAATCAACATGTTATAATCATCAAAACACAACACATCATATACTCAAAGAATACATACAACAAGACACAAGGCAACACAAAAGAAGGAAAAGAAAAAAACACACACAGCTCCTGCTCGCCTGGTGTTCGTCCAGCGAAGCAGGGGCGAATTCCATTCCCCATAGAAAAACCAGAAGCACTAATTTTTCACCCTCTTCTCGCTTCCACTATCACCTGGCAAGACTGGGATGAAATTGCTTCTCCCAACAAGCTGGGAAGTTCGTCCGACGAAACTGCGCGAACCTGCAACTTCTTAGTTGCGATTCCGCACCAGTTCATACCCAAATTTCTTACAATTTCCAATACCATTCAGTCTAAAAATACACGTCAATTACAAGTAAATCAACACTACAACAACAATACATCATACCAGATAACATATACATCATTTTCCTTCATTCTACACATCCTCAAATCACAAAATTTGTCATAATCTCCTAAAAATTCAAAATCCCCTAAAACCCCAACCACCTACATACATCTAACCTTATATCAATTATAATGACAAGCGATACTCCTCATATCTTAGACAATTCGATTATGATCCTGTTCTTGAGTTCTTCCAGAATTTCTCTGAGCCCTAACTTTTTCTTCTACTTTTTCCTCAGAGCTCTTATCTCAAAATACAATCCTACCAAATAATTTCCTTTCTCTCTATTTTCCTTTTTACCCCTAGGATCCCTAATATGTCTTTCTCACTTTGTCCTCACTTAATCCACCCAACTTTACCATCTTGCCCTTAATGTTCCAATTATTTATTTAAAATAATAATAATAATAAGATATTCACATTATCCACTATTATTATTATTATCAAAATAATTCTTATAAATCATATACTTCTAAATGTCCTCAACACCCTCTTAACATCAACAATACAACCCCCCCCCTCCAACACAAATCATCAGACATCAAAATATTTCACCAAAATTCACCGAAAATCACTAATATTTATAATAAATAAATTAAATAAATATTCCAATTATTTTTTGGTGTTACAATGGGCGTCTTGATGGTTGACAAATTTGGAGAACAGGACCCTTGGCTTGGGATGATGTCCGACCTCTATTGTACGTGTCCGGCTCTGGTTCCCGTGTTAATGTAGGCCGATGTATTTGGATCTAGAGCTTTCTCGACTTGTTCGGGATACTCAGTTGTTCGACTGGAGACCAATGGGATTCTGACTTGTTCATTCCCTTCTCAAGCAGAACCCGAATTTTGTCCAACGGTTGCATGGACAGCACCCGGATGTGGATACCGAAGGGTCTCCTATCAACTAGCATTTGGGAGGCTTCTCATTAGATACCCTCAGTGGCTCCTTACTTTGTCATCCGGTTGATGGAAGCCTTGAGTCCATTCAGTGGAAATCCTATGATATCCACAAGACGCACCTCAGTACTTGTTTTTGGTGCCCGACATTAAATATGAACTTGTGTCACCCGGGCGCCATTAATTACGAACTTGTGCCTTCTTTTTTATGTCGACTATGCAACCCTCTCGGTCGTGGTAGAAAGCGTCAGTATCTTCGACCGGATGAAAATCGACGAGGCTCGAACCCAAACTTCTTAGATATTGACTTTAGAGGTCGGCACGATCCTAAGGTCGGGTCTGAGATCATTTTCCCCACGAATTTTCAAAGTTGATGAGGGAGTTGCAATCCTTGCTGGTGGAAAGGTGGCTGAGGTGGTGACCAGCTGGGTCGTTTACGATGACTTATTGTGTTTTCTTTTGAACACTGCCCTTCTCGAGAACTAGAGATGCGCAGAAGAATGAATCGTGCAAATTCACTGAGTTAATTAAGATTGAAAGGTTGAATGTGGCTTTGATTCGATGTTTCTAAGATGTTGTGAATCGACGTCGAGATCTGGAGTTGAAATCGTATGAATAAGAAATTGTTTCCCACATACGGTGCCAATGTTCTGTTGCGGAAACAGAAATGGTGAGAATTAGAGAAACTACAGTGGAGTGAAGCTTCTGAAGCATTACGAAGATGTGACATTGTGGATCGAAGGTTGCGATCACGGTGTTTCTTGAACCGGGAGTATCGGTCTTGGTGCGATGATGTTAATTGGTGTGTGCTATCTCCGATACGGTGAATCTAAGGGTACCTGTATGGTTAGCACTCCAACGCCTAAGTCAGTTTAAAATTCAAGATAGTAGTAGTAAAAGTGGAGATTAGAGATTATATACCGAAAAACCATTTACGAAGAAAATTATACCTTGAATCTAACGGGACAGATTGGATAATAGACCTTCTTCTATTGAATCTTTGACCGATGCTGAGCAATGGTTCCAGATCTTTGGGCACCACCAAACAAATGGTATTTTTTGGATTTTAAAATTTATTGGGGTGTGCCCGTTAAATGTGGGATATACCAGTTAAATTTCCTCACGAAAACAATACAAGCCTGCAATGGGCCCCCTAGATACTCCTCTTAAAATGCCGGCCCTATATCACTCATATGACGTAATTGCTTGATATCTTACCAGATAGAATCTTCTTTACTAACATCATCGTCATGACCGTTTTAAATATTAAGAAGCCTCGTGTAGTTTAAATATGACAAATCAAATAGAAGTCATATTTTGTCATTGTTTAGCTGTAACAAATTTTTACAAGAACCTTTTTTTTCATGGTTTATTATGCACTTCAAAATCAAGTGATGGACTTTGGATATCCTTTCTTGAACCTCTCATAACAACTTGCACAAACAAAATAGGGATAGATAGAGAGCTATTAAAAATGAACGGCCAAACTTGCATAACGCACTCATTTGTACATTTCCAAACATGATATAGAAGAACCAAATCGATCAAGTTTCTCTTTGCTATTGAAATTCACTGTAAAAAATTTACATATAACTGTCTCAAAGGACAATTATTTCTGTCTATGCTGTTTCTCTTTCTGTTTTATTTTCCTATTTTGGGGTAAAGGGGAGACGCAGGCTAGGAACTAATTCAGTCTCAAAACATAAAGCTTACAACATAAAATGTAGCCGCCATAATGGTCTAAACTACCTTCAAAACGAACCTCTTTTGAGAACCATCTGAACTAACTGCAATGCTTCTTCACAATTCCTATCCACTAAGGAAAGTCTATATCTACTGCTGCCCAAGAAATTTGGCACGAATCCTAATCTCAATTGGAGTCCTACATGAAGGGCATTCCTTCATTCCTTGCTTCTCATGGAGCTCATTGCATGTCGGACACAAAACCTGATGTGCGCATGGCAGAAAAACAACCGACCTCTCCTCTGAGAGACACATGACACACTCGTGCTCCCGCTTCAACAATTTTCCACCTTCCCAGCTCCCTGTTGTAGACGTCTCAGATTTCTTGTTTTCTTTCACCACAGATGAAATACTTTTATTGGAATTAGATTTGAGCCTCAGTTTAGCAATTTCATTCTCGAGCTTTACCATGCTTTCCACATATTCCTGCAGTTCACTAGCTGCCTTCTTTCTAATGGCATCCTCCTCAGCTTTCATGTGTGCTTCATATTGTTCTCTTTCTTTACTAAAGTATGCAGCCTGAGCAAGGATCTTCTCTGTCTTAGCTTTCTCCTTTTTGACTCTAGCCTGAAATGTTTCCACCACTTAAGTAAGGAAGTACATAAGCTATTTGAGTGTCAATTGTAAACAATTTCGCCATCAATAAAACAGAAATCCAATATTGTTTAACAAGTAACTTGTGATATATATAAATGCAAAAGTAATAATGATCTACACAGGAAGACATGAGCGATAAACTATTGGCCTTGCCCTGTTCCTATACTTAGGCTCATTCAGATTCTAGTTTTGATCAAGTAAACCAAGAAGTTTATACAGTAAAGTTATGCATATACCATGATTTGTCCTAGCCAAAATCTACAGAAATGCAAGGCACTGGTGAAATTTATTTTGGTGAAATTTATTTTAATTGGTTGAGAAGTAGCAAAAACGTCATTGGGTTAAATAACTGTTTTGTCTCTCTCTATATATATTATTTTATGTTTTAGTCCCTCTAAAAAATTTCTTTAAACATTGGTCCTCCAAATGTTTTTTATCAGCCATTTTGGTCTTTGTCGTTAAAATGTTAAAACGTAATACGGTGTGAAGGAACTAAAAGTGAAAGATGATATATTTTTAGCAACCAAAAACTCAAGTTTTTGGTCTCTATGAATATACATCTTGTATTTTTAGTCCCTTTGTACATTTCCACTACCTTAAACAGCAAGGACCAAACATAAAGAAAAAACATTAGAGGGGCTAAAGTTGAAAATTTGTATACATATAAGGACAAAAACTTATTTAACATTAATATATTTGAGTAAACTCCAGAGATTTTACTCAAATATATCTTCATATTAGTTGTCATACATTTTACGTACCTCGGTATTGGCTAGAACATTTTTCCCCTTTTCTATCTCCTGTTGCAGCTTAGATAATGTTTGCTTCTCTTTCTCAAGTTCATCTTGAAGCAACCCCTTCTCCGATTTCCATGACTGAGCTTGTTGAATAGCCATCCGCTCTCTCTCCAGTGCTTCTTGATGGGTTGCCATCGACTGTTCAGCTAACAACCTAGCAGACTCCAACTCCTTCTCTAGCAATGATTTTTTTGTCTCTAGAATGAATATGGAAGAAGCAGCACTCTGAATTTGTTTTTTATTATTTTCCGTAGCATTCTCCACTTCAGTGATCCTTTTCTCAGCATTCTCCTCTAAAGCTTTCCTTTCTTTTCTATATGCTTCCATTTCTTTTTTCAGAGAATTAGACTCAGCCTGAATCTTGCGAAGCTTATCAGCTACCTGCATAACCTTCTTATTCGTCCAATCATTCCAGCTTTGTAGCTCATCCTGCAATTCTTGCGCTCGAGAAACTAATTTCAAAATTTGTTCGTCCTTCTCATCCCTTGGGATATACTTGCCCGAAATCTTGTCAAAAGGAATACGAGCACAGTAATTTAGAACCTTTTGAGTGACAGAGGAGCATAGCTTAGGTTTTGGTTTGATTGTTTCCATTGGGAGATTGCCTCCTTCAGGTAAAGCTGAATCATCATTGGTTGAAACATGGCATAAGCCTGCTATACTAACTCCTTTTTCTGCTTTACCAACTCCTTTTGTATTTGAGGAGCTGCGTTTCATTTTCTGATTCGGAATTTCAGATTGTGGCTTAAGTCTTTTTTCAACAATCAAACCACTTACGCTAGTAAGCTTAGCTAATTTAACACCCCCTTTTCCACAAGCTTTAGTTTTCTCCATGTGAATGAACTTCTGCCTAAGTGCGAATGCAAGTTCTTTTCTACTATTCAGCTTTGAATTAGATCCTGATTTACTTTCCTGAGAGCCCTTTTGGCTAGTCGTCGAACTGGAGTCTGAAATTATATCAATGCTTTGAACCTCCAGCTTAGATGGGGGAACGGAAGACTTGCCAGAGCTTTGCTCGTTAGAAACATCACTCGACTGCTCTTCTGCCCTAATGACACGCGTAATACTCAAATCATGAATCAGCAACTCCCACATTGCTTCAGTTACAGTCATGGAAGGCATTAGTTCGCGAAGTATACCAATCATCTCTACCAAGAAATAATGCAGTAACTGCTTAAAGCTTTTAAATTCAAATCCTGCAATATTCTCACTACAATTTTCCTTCAAATTTTTCACTGTGTAGCATACAATATTCATGAGAAGGTCTCCTTCTGCATATAAGGCCTTCCTTGAAAGAGCCGTTTCAACCATTTTTTGACTGTAACCTAAATCAACAACCTTTCTAACTGCATTTCTGAAAATTGAATCCAAATTACTCATCAGTAACTCCTCAAGCTTAGTTGCCATAGGATCCTTCCAATCCTCAACCTCGAGCACACGCAATTGCGGTTCTTCAGTATAACAATCTAAATCCAATCCCGACGGATCAAATTCATTTAAGTCGGGCAGATTCGTAAATCCATAGAGAGAGAAATCACCATCCACATTCGAGGAACGGTCGGCCGGAACCATCGAAAACTCATGATTTAATTTTCTCTTGCAATTACTACCTTGTTCATAATCACCAGTTTTATCCATTTCTTCAGCCATTATTCTACCTTTTACCTATCAAATCAACCCAAACCTCTATCAACAAATGAATGATTAAAAAAAACAGTAAACCAAAATAAAATTGGGAACACAAGATTGTAAACAAATAAAATAAAATAAAATAAAAACTGTAAACAAAAAAAAAATTGGGAACAGAAAATTGATGCAAAAACTAACACCAATGCAAAAATATCGAGATGGAAATCCTAATCTTGAGCAAGATCAAGTACTGAGAAAAAAACAAGTAAGAATCAATAGAAACAATGTAATGGAAAACAAGTTCAGCAATAAATCCAATAAAATACTAAGAACTAAGAAACGGGTTTCATTGGCTAAAAACCAAAATTAAGAGAAATTAATAACAGTTTTGAAGCAAATGTGTATACCTGAAGTTGTTTGAAGATTTGAGCAGCAATGGAGAAGAAAACGAATAAGCTTTGGTTGAGAGTGTGAGAAATGTGTGTGTTGGTTCTTCCAGACTCTGGGTTTTGGGTTTTGGAATGCAAATGAAATGAGAATCTAATGCTTCATTAGTATTTATATTTATTATTTACAAGAGTAAGGGCTTGTTTGTATGTGAAGTGCGGTTAAGTGTTAGCCCCGTAAACCGGGTGTAAATTACCTACTAGTCCCTCTATTTGAAATTTGATTTGTTTTACAAATATGATATAAAAGGAAGATAAAAGTGTTTTAAATATTATTTGTTATTGTTATAAATAAAAGTCAATTACTTTTGAATTTTTAATATATTTTTTTGCTTAATTTTAAAATAATTAATGTTGATAGTTGACTGACTTTTTTTCAATAATATAAAAAAATGTCAATTTAGTTAATTAAATTTATTTTTAGAAAAAATATAAAAAATTAATTTAAAAATTGCTTTTTCTTTAATTTGAAATTTAATTTTTTTAATATACTTTTTTGTTTAATTTAAATTTATTCTTATATTTGTTTGTGTATTTTTTATCATTATATATATAAAATACAATAATATTTTGAAAACAGTGTAAACAGTGTAAATTAAATGGCATAAATGGAGGGAAAATCTATTAAAAACTAATAAATACGTTCATTTGAAACAATTTTTTTCTGATGTAATACAATGAATGAAGCACTTCCAACTCAAATGTAAATAAAAATACATATATAATTGGTGGTCCAAAATATATAGTAAAAACAACTTTCTAAAAAAAATTTTAATAATCAATATATCTGGAATATATATAATTTAAATTAATAAATTTAAAAAATAATTTTTTTTATATTAAGTACTAATTGATAAGTTAATTGAAATATTTGATAAATGTAAAATAATATAAAAAATTATTTTTTTAAATTAATAATTGAATGAGTATATTATCTTTTATATATTATTATTAAATTAATTTTTATTTAAAATTAAACATAACAATAACACATATAAATAATTTTAAATATAATATCAAAATTTATTCAATATATATATATATATAATTTATCGGATGATAAAGTAGAGAAGAGCAACAATAAAGAGGATGGTTGAAATCACGATAGAAAGAGAATGAAAAAGAATAAAATGGAAACAACATAGAAAAATAATGGAAAAGAATGCGCTAAAGAATCATTTTTTTCAATACAAATTTTGACTCTTTTTTTTAATTTTGTATTTTAAACATATTTATTTTATTTTTAATTTTAATAAATTTTAAAAAATAAAGATAAATTTTAGTTAAAATAATTAAGAAAAAAATGATTAAAATAGCTTTAGAGAAAAAAATAATAAATTAATATAAAAAGCTACAAATTATAAAAATAGTTATCATACATAAATTTTTTTATTGATGCGAATTAAATAAATAAAGTTAATATTTTTTATTTTATTAAACAAATTCTTAATATCTTTATTCTCAAAATACTAATCAACCAAACAAATTTTTAGACAAAGTTAAATGAAAATAACTGTTAGAACAAGATTTGGTTCTACTCATTATCTCTAAGTTTTGATAATAACAAAGTAGTATTTGTGTGAGAACAATTTTAGTACTCTAACGTTTGTTTTTATGAAGGATTAACCAACAGGCTCGGATTCTGATAGAGACCATATACAATAAAAATTTGGTTTGACTAAAAGTCACTTTTGCGCCATAGAAGCAAATCTGCTTCTGATCTACTCACATTCAGAAAGATTCTAAAAAGACAATATGTTGCTGCTGCATTGTTCTCTTGGATTCTGCCTCTGAGCATGACTCTGATATTTTACTTCTGAAGGTTTTCTAGCTTCTGAAGTCGCTATCTTCTGAAGACTAAGTGTTGATGACTCTGAAGACAAGGTTCTGATGAACGAAGTTCTAAAGACTCTGAAGACTTAAGTTTCTGAAGACCAAGGGTTCTGAAGATTGTGTGCTTAAAGTTCTGAAGACAAGGTTCAGATGAACAAGTTTTGAAGACTTAAGACTCTGAAGACCCAGTGCAATCATCCTCCTTTTTGTTCTTTTTCATTCAGGCGCAATCACATTAAACTCGTTATCTCCACACACTTATAGCAAGGGAACCGGTTAGTGACTCTGATCCTTTTTGCTTGGGGTTCTGGTACTTTCGTGGCATAACCCTTTGCTCACTCAGTTGTAGTTGCGGGGGATCAGACCGTAATCCGCCCTACCAAGTTCAACACCAGAAACCGCTGAACCAACTAACAACGAGTTTTACTATCAACTTTTTTGTAAAGGCTCTACATCCGTTGGGTTAAGTGACCGAGTGAGGGTCACCAAACTTAGAAGGTGTATTCTTTTTTTTTTCAAATAAAAATTGGATCACTCACTTATTTTCATCAACTTCCCTGCGTAAAGTGTGTTTGAGATGGTGCTGACTGCTGAAATAAACTACTCAAGAGTTGTCAGAGAATAAAAATTTAAGGCTAAACCATAATAAGAATTCAAATCAATTTCCATATGCAGGAGACTTACGGTGTTAAGACGATACCGATCTTATGAATTTTTCCCAAGTCTCCGCAAATTAATCTCAAATTAGACTATAACCTCAAACTTTCAAGAAGATGCATTTTTTTAATTTTTTTTATTTGACTGAAAACAAACAAAACACTAATAAAAACAAGGAAAACAAACGATTTTCCTCCCCCACACTTAAAATGTGCATTATCCTCAATTAAAGGACATAACTATTAAATAAGAGTGAGAGAAAGGAAAGAACACACCCGGGTAGTCAAGGTGGGTAAGTGATCATATAAGCAGTCTTTCCCAAAGAGAGATCTTCTATAGGCTCCTCTCCAAAAGTGGGGATGTCATAAAGTAACTTTGGGTAGCATCCATTGACCTTGAAATATTTATTAGTGCCTTCGACTTTTATTCCAGGATTAAAGAAGAATCTTCGATAAGTAAAAGTGTCGAATGGGCATGTGAAAGTGCTCTCTGTTTCCACAACATCAAGAATCAAGGGATTAAGGGGATGCCTCACTGCTTTTCTTCCATCTTTAATTGAGACCCTACGCATACTCATGGATGAACTAAAATTACGAGTGTTAACCAAGGTCCATCCAATTCCCTTCTTATATTCCTGCAATAACTTTTCTTCCTGCTCAAATTGAAGCTTTGATGAATAATATAAATCCTCAGGAAGTGGTTCAGAAGGTGGTTGTTCAGAAGAATATTTGGTTGGGCAGCCGTGATATCAAGAGTTTCGACTGTATAAACAACATCACTAAAAGAATCACCATGCATTAATCTCAGCACAAACAGAGCGAACGTTAGTGTCAGTACATAAATCGCAAGAGTAAGTATCATCATAATCTAATAAAGATGGAAAATCAGATAACAACTCAGGATAAATATCATAAACTAAATCAGACAATAACTCTTTTGGATTCACTACTGTTTGAGCGGATAGTTGGTTTGATACTTGAGCTTGCTGCATGGCATTTACTATAGTGGCAAGCTGTCCAATCTGTGTCTGCAAAGTCTGAAGAGTGGAATCTGTTTGTTGCTGAAACTGTAGATCATTCATAGCCATTTGCTTGACAAGGTCCTCTAATGAAAGTTCAGAAGGTGTAGAGCATACAATTTGGAATTCATTCATATGCTTATTCGGATCCTCACCTGCAAGTCCATTAAACCTTGACAACAAGTGTATTAAACCAGATTTTAATTCAAAAGGAACAGCAACATCATCATATTCAATACACAAGCCATTATAATTCACATCAGGGGCAGCCAATTGCCTTAAGGTTCTATTATCAGCCATTTCAAAATCAAGTTCAGTATACGAAGCAAACAAGTTATGCAGATAGTCAGACTCAGACTCAAACACAATGATGGAAAATGATTAATTAAATTTCAGAAAAATAAAATAACACCATAATTAAGCTAATTAAGCAAAATAACACTTATGAGAATTTTTTCGATTTTTTCCGACTCTATGAAAATAGTAAAAAAAATTCATTAAAAATAGAAAAAAAAGGGTTTTTTGGCGATTCTGAGGGTGGATACCAAGTATTCCTCTAGGAATACTAGGATTAATGACCGGATGATTTTTCTGCTTCTCGTAGGCAAAACAGTTTTACGATAAGACACAAATTTTCCAAAAATCGATTTTTTCGACTCTAGACGCGAGAAGGCCAAAAACGTGGGGAACCTAGGGCCTAAGCGCAACAACACTAAACCTATGACTCTAATATCGATTAATAACAACAAGAATCCCCGGAAACGGCGCCAATTTGATCCGCTGTCGTGCGCGGATCAAAACGAGTGTTTTTGTAAAAATGCAGTACAGCGATAGTAACTCGGAATATCGTTCTCAAGGATTCTTATAGAAATAACCAATTACAGTAACGAAATATGGGGGGGGGGGTCGGTTTTGATTTTAGAAAATAAATGATTATTGAAATAAGTTGTTGTGAAATAAGTGATTATGAAATAAGTTAATCTGCTGTTCGTTCTCCCACTTATCATTGATCATACAATTCTAAAGCCCTAAACGGATTCCATTCCCATTCGATTACAGTAACAATT